TAATGAAACTGCCAAGGGTTATTTATGGAGATACAGGGTTTAGGATGTAGCTTATGTCCAGCAGGCTGGTGTTTCAGACACACACACTTGAACCTCCACAGTGAACAGAGCAATAGACACCCATTTCCATGTGGCTCCTTGGAACGTATGAGAATGGCATTCTTTCCTAAACCTTGCACCAGGCTGAAAAAGGACAGGTTGCCAACCAGAAGGAAAATGAGCCAGAGTGAGATATCGTTTGAAAATATTGACTTGAGGTAGGACAAGAGAAGATGTCAAAACAATTCCTGCTGAAAGGAAACCAAACACATGTATTCACATGCAAAAACAATGCCATTGTCTAAGCCAGTGGATAAGACACAGGCCTATTTTCAGTGTTTGGGAATCCTCTTCTACCCATGGCTCCTTTCAAGAGAGCCAGGAAGATGGGAGGAAGAAGGAAAACCAATATTAGTTCTGGTCATTCAGGCATGTGCTCAGGCTCTGGGGACACAGAGCCGGGGACAAGGGTGGAGGGAGGATTTGGGTGGAGGAGCGGAATAACCAGCGTGTTGCCACCGTCTTCAACCCAAGTCTCTGCTCTGTAGTGTTTGACTTTATGGGAATGTGGGAAAAAAGATGGGAGAAAGTTGACAAATAGAACTTCTCAAGAGTCACTAAGAATACACAAATTGTAGCAGGGCCAAGAGGCTGGAAATGTCACCCAATCAGAGGATCTTTAATTTCCTGCCTGATTGGCTCCAACAGAGGGAAAAGGGGAAATGGGGCATGAACTTTGTGCTACAGGCATGATTCCTCAAAAGCCATCTGTCTCTTAGCCTGTTACCTTCAATTCTAAAGAGATATCTATAAAATGATCCCTTTCTTTCTGGTGGCTCTGGCAGTCTTTGGTGTTCTTTGACCTGTAGACATATTACTTCAATCTCTGCCTCCATCAGCACAAGGTATTCTATTCTCCCCTCCATGTATGCTTCTGTGTCTTTTTCCTCTTCTTAAAGGACACCAGTCACTAGATTAGGGCCCACCCTAGCCCAGTATGACATCATCATTACTACTTACCTCTGCCAAGATCCTACTTAAAATACAGATATATTCTACAGTTCCAGGTGGCCATGATGCTTGGAGGGGATACTGTTAAACCCAGTATATCTCCCAAAAGAACCTGGGAATATTACCTTCTACACCAAAGGAATGGATCATATGTTAGATGGTCAAAGATGTAATTAAATTAAGGATTTTGAGAGAAGGAAGAGAGAGCTGGGCTTCCCTGGTGGCTCAGTGGTAAAGAATCCGCCTGCCCATGCAGGAGACGTGGGTTCCATCCCTGCAGGGAAGAGCCCCATGCAGTGGAGCAACTAAGCCCATGCACCACGACAATGGAACCTGTGCTCTAGAGCCTGGAGTCGCAACTGCTGATGGCCGCACACCCTAGAGCCTTTCCCCACAGCTATGGAGTTCCACAACTACGGAGGCTCTGCTGTAGGGCCCAGGAGCTGCAGCTACGGACGCCCGCACGCCCTAGAACCTTTGCTCCGCAACAAGAGAGGCCATTTCAAGGAGGAGCCTCTGCTATTGCACCGCAAGTTCTGTAGCCCCTGCTCACCGCAACTAGAGAAAAACCCACGCAGCAAGGAAGACCCAGCACAGCCAAAAATAAATGAAATCATTTTTTTAAAAAGGGAGAGAGGCAAAGAGACACACTCAGTCATGGAGGAGAAGCCCACCTGATGATGGAACAGAGGGAGGTACAGCCACAGGCTAGAGAAAGCCAGCACTCCAAGAGGAGAGGGTTCGCCCTTAAGGCCTCTGTAAGGGGCATGGCCCTGTCAACCATAGGCTTTAAACTTCTGGCCTTCAGAACTCTGAAAGAATAAATTTCTGTTGTTTTAAGTCTGGGGCAGTTTGTTTTATAGCCTCAAGAAACTATTATAAGGGACTGCCTAAAAACCCATTAATTTGACTATTCTAGTGTCAGTTTATCCTTATTCGAGTGAAAACACCCTTCTTGGTGCAATAAATAACATCAAACAACTGTCTCTTCAATATTTACTTAGAAATCACCACCTAGCTTTGGCCACAGATCCTGAACTATTCTGTCACCTCTTTGCCCAACCCAAGAAAACCCTTGCATTGAATGACTCACATTAAAACAGACCCTAGTAGCCTCACACATTTGTTCCTTTGCCTTCTCTCCTCCAATAAATCTACTAAGACTCTATCAATATAATGATCTCCCTTACTGAGATATTTTCAAGAAGCCAGTTTTCAATGCTAGAGACTGCGGTTCTTGGGCAAGCTAACCATTCTGATTAATAAGTCAGCTAATAGTGTGGGATATAGCCTGTGTAGTTGACAAGGGGAAAAGAGACTGAGAGCTCTTGCCGAGAGACTGTGTCTCTGTAGATACTGGGAGCTTTTACCTTAGTCTCAGAACAGTGATCTTCAAAGTTGCAATAGTACATCTTCACTGGTACTTCACTGGTAAAATTTTTTAATTACAAATATTTAATATATATTTGTTTATTTTTGATAAGGTATTTGTAAGTTCTATTTCATATACATTAAAAAGCATAGACAAAAATACAAAATGCAATGGTTTGAAATAGAAATGAAATGAAAACTGCTTTAAAATAACTTTAAATTTGCTTATTAATACCACCAAAATTGGCAGTCATATATATCATGAAAAATAATACGGCAAATATTCCTGTGAGAGTACTGCAATTAGGAAAATTGTGAAAGTCTTTAAAATGCACAAAAGATTACTAGGTATCCTTTCAGTGGAATGCTGAGCATTGTCTAGGAAACCCTTCAAGGTTATCTGATTCTATAGAGCTTTGCATTTTTAATTGTCTTGCTGGGATGTGCTTAGCTACACAGTTGTGTCTGACTCTTTGCGACCCTGAGGACTGTAGCCCGCCAGGCTTCTCTGTCCATGGGGATTCTCCAGGGAAGAATACTGGGTTGCCATGCCTACCTCCAGGGGATCTTCCCAACCCAGGAATCAAACCCAGGTCTCCTGCATTACAGGCGGATTCTTTACCTTCTGAGCCACCAGGGTTGGAGGAGGCTATTTTACAACTCCATTAATTGTAAGGATATGATGATAATGCAAATTATTTTTACCCATAGAAATGCAAATGAATTGCTTCTAGCAGAGGTGCAACTGACTTCTGCCCCATAGAAAACTACAGTTTGCTGCCTTGTTGTTGTTCACTCCTAAGTCACGTCTGACTCTTCTTCGACCCCATGGACTGTAGCCCACCAGGTTCCTCTGTCCCTGGGATTTCCCAGGCACTGGAGTGGGTTGCCATTTTCTTCTACAGAAGATCTTCCCAACCCAGGGACTGAACCTGAGTCTCCTACGTTCGCAGGCAGATTCTTTACCGTTGAGCCACCAGCGAAACCCTATACTTTGCTGCCTTACAGGATATTAATGAGTTTTGTAAGCATTAGCAAATTCATTTTAGCATTCTTGATTGACTGTAAATGTTTGCTCTTCAGATTTTCCTTTGAATTGTATTAATCATCTTATGGATTCTTGTTTTAATTAATAAACTGATAAAATCTTTAAGACATGTTCATTTTGTATGATTTTATATTTTTTGAAAATTACCCTTTAATGAATGAAAACAAATGTGTCCTTTAAAAAATCTTGCTTCAATCCTTTATGATACAGTCATTTAAATGTCTGTTTCTAGGTTCAGTTAATTTTGATGCTTGGTTTTAATAGATGCTATGGGACTTCCCTGGTGGCTCAGATGGTAAAGAATCTGCCTCAGTGCAGGAGATCTGGGTTTGATCCCTGGTTTGGGAAGATACCCTGGAAAAGGGAATGGCTACAAACCCGAGTATTCTTGCCTGGAGAATTCCATGAACAGAGGAGCCTGGCGGGTTACAGTCCATGGGGTCACAAAGAGTAGGAGATGACTGAAGGACTAACACATAGCCCCACCTCAGAGTGATCAGAAAAATCATGGGATGGCCTTGGATTTCATTCAGGGCTAGGAGAAATGAGCCCCAGAGAGCAGAAGTGAAAGCAGAAGGAAATAAAGTTCTCTTCTCTTGTACTCCAGGGAACTCTACTCTTTCATGGAAGCAACCTAGATGCCCATCATCAGATGAATGGATAAGGAAGCTATGGTACATATACACCATGGAATATTACTCAGCCATTAAAAAGAATTCATTTGAATCAGTTCTAATGAGATAGATGAAACTGGAGCCCATTATACAGAGTGAAGTAAGCCAGAAAGATAAAGACCAATACAGTATACTAACACATATATATGGAATTTAGAAAGATGGTAACAATAACCCTATATGCAAAACAGAAAAAGAGACACAGATGTACAGAACAGACTTTGGGACTCTGTGGGAGAAGGCGAGGGTGTGATGTTTAGAGAGAACAGCATTGAAACAAGTATACTATCAAAGGTGAAACAGATCACCAGTCCAGGTTGGATGCATGAGACGGGTGCTCAGGGCTGGTGCACTGGGAAGACCCAGAGGCATGGGATGGGGAGGGAGGTGGGAGGGGGGATCGGGATGGGGAACACATGTAAATCCATGGCTGATTCATGTCAACGTATGGCAAAAACCACTACAATATTGTAAAGTAATTAGCCTCCAACTAATAAAAATAAATGAAAAAAAAAGTAATGACTGTAAGTTTAGAATATGAACAGAAAAGGTTCCAAAACGGTGGTACCCCCGAGCTGCAACATTTCATTGTGGGCAGGAACGGAGAGATGTCAGAGGCTGAGAAAGAACAGTGAGGAAAGGAGGAGGAACACCAGGAGCCGGTGGTCTCATGGAAGCAGCTGCCTTTTCCTTTTAAATGCTACCCTACTTTTCCTGTATGCTCACACATCTCCCTACCCATAAATGCACTTAGTGTCATCCTGGAAAAGCTAGTAAGCTACTGACAGAAAACTTGTGAGCTGAACTGACAGAACAGTCCTGTAAATAGTTTCCACCCAGCTGTCTCAGCATTAAAGATGGGAGGACTCTGTCCATCAAAGAGGTCCTTGTATAGATACATGAATAATGAGATAATGGAACTGGGTTTACCTTGCCAATATAGAGCCATTGCTGATGAGGTGGTGGTGTGGTTCAGTCATGTCCGACTCTTCGCAATCCCATGGATTGCAGCATGCCAGGCTTCTTTGTCCTTCACTGTCTCCCAGAGTTTGCTCAATCTCATGTACACTGAGTCAGTGATGCCATCCAACCATTTCATCTTCTGTCGTGCCCTTCTCCTCCCAACCTCAATCTTTTCCAGCATCAGGGTCTTTTCCAATGACTCAACTCTTCGCATCAGGTGGCCAAAGTATTGAGGCTTCAGCTTCAACATTAGTCTTTCCAATGAATATTCAAGGTTGAATCCTTCAGGATTGACTGGTTTGATCTCCTTTCTGTCCAAGGGATTCTCAAGAATCTTCTCCAGTGCAACAGTTTAAAAGCACTCAGCCTTCTTTATGGTCCAGCTCTCACATTCACACATGACTACTGGGAAAAGCCAAGCCTTTTTTTTAATAGATATGTGAATAATGAGATCATGGAACTGGGTTCACAGTGCCAATACAGAGCCAGATATGTTAGCCACAACTAATGAATGCTCTCTGCTTTTTATAACACTTTCAACCTATATAATGTGAGCAGTGAGCATAGCACATCATGCCCAGAGGACGGGAGAATAGGCATGTTCTCTCCTTTGAAAAGAAAGAAAGGAGGTGGAAAGGAAAGGAAAGAAAGAAAAAGGAGGTGGGATTTAAAAAGATGAGAGACTTGCTAACCATGACTAAAGCCAGGACGACACACCAGGACACCTGAATCTCATAGATTTTATAGAACATTTTTTCTCTTCCTGAGATGCCTTTTATTTGCCTGACCCTTTAAGTTTACAGAGTGTGGTCAGGGACTTTATTTGAAGGTTCTCCATCCCCCTCAGCCTGTCAACTCCTAGGTATCCCCCAAAATCTAGCCCATTGTCCACATATCTAGGATCTACTAAATCCCTTAGTAAACAATCCTAGACTATTTGAGAGTCCTTTAGCTCATTTAAACAAAACAGAAATAATGCTATTTCTCATTACATAGGAATGTTAAGAAGGTTAAGATATGGTGAGCGCTCAATGCATAGAGGGCTTCTGCAGTGACTCAGTGGTAAAGAATCTTCCTGCAATGCAGGAGATGTGGGTCAGATCCCTGGGTGGGGAAGATCCCCTGGAGGAAATGGCTACCTACTCCAGTATGCTTGCCTGGGAAAACCCATGGACAGAGGAGCCTAGTGGGCTACAGTCCGTGGGGTCACAAAAAGTTGGATACAACTAAGAGACTGAACAACAGCAACACATAGAATGCCCTCCATGAGGGACCATAATTAATAGACACTATCCCAAAGAGTTCAGTGGACAGTGGGGTAGGGACAAGGCACTGTGAGGACACTAACCTTGGAGATAAATTCTTGTTAGCATCACAGACTTGCTTCCTTCCTGCCTGAATGGCATATCTTGGCCTGCCCAGGACCAGCAGGAACACACAATGCCTGTGCTCCGTTATTGCAACATAAAAACAAGGCTCAGGTGACTTCTCGGGCAAAGCCATTCCAAATGTCTCTGCCCCTTACTTAATCACAGTGATAAATACCATATAAAGAGCTGAGGCTAAATGCCAAACACATAAACCAGCTGGATGGCAACAAAAACAGGAGCTATTAGGCCCTGTCACTGATGCCCAGGGGAGCTTACCTGTTCCTCTTTTTCAACAGGCACCGCAGTGGTAAGACTGTTTGATGTGTTTCATAAGTCAGTATAGCAACAACAGGGAGATATATCTATATATAGATATTCGAAGTATTCTGCAGCCAAACATCTGAGTGCTTTTAATACCAGCTTATAACACAGAGACCAACAGGAGTTGGTATTCAGTAACAGAGCTAATAAGAGGTGTGGTGTCCCAGAAAATTCCATTTGTTTCCAGTGCTGGGCAAGTGCAAGGCATTTTTATGAGATTTACTCCAAGACCTCCTGAGCACCTGTGAAAAGTGGGTACTATAGTCCCATCCCAGACACTGAGGGAATGGAGACAAAGGTGGAGGAGCCAACAGTGGCAATGTGGGTAGCTTACATAATTTCTCTAAAGAGATGGCCAGCCTCTAACATTCTGTGCCCCCAGACACATTTTTTAAGCCAGGTCTCTAAAGTAGGAAGTCAAGAGATACCTGGAGTAACAGGCAAGTTTGGCCTTAGAATACAAAATGAAGCAGAGCAAAGGCTAACAGAGTTTTCCCAAGAGAATGCATTGGCAATAGGAATAACCCTCTTCCAACAACACAAGAGACGACTCTACACGTGGACATCACCAGAAGGTCAATATCGAAATCAGATTGATTACAGTTGTTGCAGTTGAAGATGGAGAAACTCTACACAGTCAGCAGAAACAAGAGTGGGAGCTGACTGTGGCTCAGATCATGAACACCTTGTTGCCAAATTCAGATTTAAATTGAAGAAAGTAGGGAAAACCACTAGACCACCCAGGTATGACCTAAATCAATCTCTTACGACTAAACAGTAGAAGTGACAAATAGATTCAAGTGATTAGATCTGACAGACCGAGTGCTTGAAGAACAATAGACAGAGGTTAGTGACACTATACTGGAGGCAGTGAGCAAAACCATCCCCAAGAAAAAGAAACCCAAAAAGGCAAAATGGCTGTTTCAGGAGGCCTCACAAATAGCTGACAAAAGAAGAGAAGCTAAAGACGAAGGAGAAAAGGAAAGATACACCCATCTGAATGCAGAGTTCCAAAGAATATCAAGGAGACATAAGAAAGACTTCCTCAGTGAACCGTGCAGAGAAATAGAGGAAAACAATAGAATGGGAAGACTAGAGATCTCTTCAAGAAAATGGGGATACCAAGGGATCATTTCATGCAAAGATGGGCACAATAAAGGACAGAACTGGTATGGACCTAACAGAAGCAGAGAATATTAAGAAGAGGTGGCAAGAAACACAGAAGAACTATACAAAAAAGATCTTCATGACCCGGATAGCCACGATGGTGTGATCACTCACCAAGAGCCAGACATCGTGGAATGTGAAGTCAAGTGGGCCTTAGGAAGCATCACTACAAACAAAGCTCATGGAGGTGACGGAATTCCAGATGAGCTATTTCAAATCCTAAAACACAATACTGTGAAAGTACTGCACTTAATATGCCAGCAAATTTGGAAAACTCAGCAGTGGCCACAGGACTGGAAAAGGTCAGTTTTCATTCCACTCCCAAAGAAAGCCAATGCCAAAGAATGCTCTAACTATGCACAATTGTTCTCATTTCACATGCTGGCAAAGTAATACTCAAAATTCTCCAAGCGAGGCTTCAACAGTATGTGAACGAAGAACTTCCAGATGTTCAAGCTGAATTTAGAAAAGGCAGAAGAGCCAAAGATCAAATTGCCAACATCTGTTGAATCATCAAAAAAGCAAGAGAATCCCAGAAAAACATCTACTTCTGCTTCATTGACTGTGCCAAAGCCTTTGACTGTGTGGATCACAACAAACTGTGGAAAATTCTTAAAGAGATGGGACTACCAGACCACCTGACCTGCCTCCTGAGAAATCTGTATGCAGGTCAAGAAGCAACAATTAGAACTGGACATGGAACAAAGAACTGGTTCCAAATTGAGAAAGGAGTACGTCAAGGCTGCATAGTTTCACCCTGCTTATTTACCTTATGTGCAGAGTACCTCATGTGAAATGCTGGGCGGGATGAAGCACAAGCTAGAATCAAGATTTCTGGGAGAAATATCAATAACCTCAGATATGCAGATGATACCACCCTTAGGGCAGAAAGTGAAGAGGAACTAAAGATCCTCTTGATGAAGGTGAATGAGGAGAGTGAAAATGAAAATGCTGTCTTAAAACTCAAAATTCAAAAAACTAAGATCATGATGTCTGGTTCCATCACTTCATGGCAAATAGATGGGGAAACAATGGAAACAGTGATAGATTCTATTTTCTTGGGCTCCAAAAATCACTTCAGATGGTGACTGCAACCACAAAATTAAAAGATATTTGCTCCATGGGAAAAAAGCTACGACAAACTTAGACAGCATATTAAAAAGCAGAGACATTACTTTGCCAACAAACTCTGTCTAGTCAAAACTATGGTTTTTCCAGTAGTCATGTATGGATGTACGAGTTGGACCATAAAGAAGGCTGAACCACTGAAGAATTGATGCTTTTGAACTGTGATGTTGGAGAAGACTCTTAAGAGTCCCTTGGACTGCAAGGTGGTCAAACCAATCAATCCTAAAGGAAATCAATCCTGCATATTCATTAGAAAGACTGATGTGAAACTCAAGCTCCAGTATTTAACCACTGATAGGAAGAGCCAACTCATTGGAAAAGACCCTGATGCTGGGAAAGAATCAAGGCAGAAGGAGAAGAGGATGACAGAGGATGAGATGGTTGGATGGAATCTCTGATTCAATGGACATGAGTTTGAGCAAGCTCTGGGAAACGGTGAGGGATTGGGAAGCCCGGCATGCTGCAGTCCATAGGGTCACAAATAGTTGGACATGACTGAGTGACTGAACAACAACTACAGAAGCAAGCCCTGAGCAGAGAAGCAATAGCATGTGGTTTATTTTAGAGGGGCAGAGATGCTGGCAGGGTGATGGCATGGCGACACGGGAGGAGGAAGGCAAAGAGGGATTTGGTACATATTCAGTAACCACAGAGAACAACCAGAATATCATTCCTCCAGAAATATATGGGAAGTTGCGTACAATGCCTGCCCCAGAAATATTCCAGCCAAGGCCTGAGGAGGCTGGGCTGCTTACACCTAACACCCAGCAATTATTGATTAGACCCTACATTGTCAGTTGTTTAGTCATGTCTGACTCTTTCTGACCCCATGGACTGCAGCCTGCCAGGCTCCCAGAATACTGGGGTGGGTTGCCATTTCCTTCTCCAGGGGATCTTCCTGAGTCAGGAATCAAACCCTGGTCTCCTGCATTGCAGGCAGACTCTTTACCATCTGAGACACCAGGAAAGCCCAGACCCTCCATTACCAGATATCATTTCCTGGTCAGGGGCTCCAAAAGCTTAATGACAGATTCAAATGAACAATTATTTCAACTAATAATGTTTTAATTTTACTTAAATAATGCCATCTCGAGAACACAGATGTACAGGCACACATATACCTTTATAAAATAAATACATGTTAAGAATCCATTTTATATTTATATATATTCACATAAACTTTGTTAACATATGGGTACACGTACGCATACATATATATATATATATACACACACACATATATATAT